GAAACATTTGAAGTTGTAAAATCTCCAAGACATAAGATATTGAAGAAAATGAATTCCACTTGCTTTCTTTGCAATGTAATGTGTACACTTTTTAAGAGAAATGTATATTCCTAAAGTGTACACACATCCTGCAACAATATGAAGTCATTTAGGAAGTTAATGACATCAACGGACACATATTGATAATGAACAACTAAGCAAAATGTGTTGATCTTTCTTTCCTTTTAAGAAATGAATTGCTATTTGGTTTATTTATACTTATATGTGTATATTGTAGAATGATATTATTATATGTTGCATACATGCTACTTATTACATTTGTAATAACATGGACTATTATGAACTATGCGCGTGTTTTCTCTTCACTGAATAAACATCTTCACATAATGTACACTATGACTTGGGGAACAGTCTGATGGGGTGGTGGGGTTTGGTTCATTGACCTCATTCAGAGGTCAATCCGTCCATCTGATAATAAATATATGTGAGCTTTATTTCCGCTTGATTTCTTCCTCATAGCTATAACTCATCTATAACTGCCAGTGTGCTTCAAACAGAGTCAATAAATGGCCTCCTTACTCTGACAATGTGGCAGTCCTAGCAAGTTTGATTTCAAGTGAAAAACAATTACATTGTTATTCTGTTAATTCAAATGATATGATATAGATGAATTGATCAGTTTATCATTACAATAATTACACATTGACAATTTACGTTGACACTATTTACAACATCTTGAACTAGACTGACATTGACATAAATGACCTTGAAATTTCTGTACTGTATAATCACCTTCACATGCATATGAGAATTGCACAAAGATCGTGTTGCTTTCAGCTACGTGAGCTGAATGTTCTATGATATTGATATTTGGCATATATATAAATAAATATTTAGAGTGTTATTGTTATATTATTTTGCTTTGTTATGTGGTCTGGCGTTTGAAGACGGTGCGAGGTGCGAGTTCAATGTAGTACCAGTATTCCTTAAGTTCGTAACGATAACATGCACGTAAAATGTCACAGCATTCGGTAAAGCGGTTTCTGGTACGTATATTATATATTTTATGACAGGGTTAACAATGAGTGAAGAAAGATGTTCCTAAAAAAAACAAATTAGAAGCATTAACATCTAACCCGTAAATTTGTATTATGCGAGCCTTTGTTGAAGCTTTTGAGGATATTATCTTAAAATCACAACAATTTTAATAAAGGCTTGAGTTTAAAAAAAATTCCAAAACATACATGCACAAATTCATTTCCTTCAGTCTTGCTGTTTCGGAGGGGAAGATGTCTGCGAGGACCCAGAAAATATTTTACGATAATTTAGGCAATATTCAAAGTGCAAAGGTCGAATCAAAGTCAAAGCGCAACATACATGCTGAACCCCTTACTAACTTCACACACACTTAATTTCATTACATTGTTAAAAATGGCCGAGTAATGGGTTTCGATATGGCTGCTGTTTCGACAATATTGAAAGCGGCTTCAACCTTTTAAGATATTAGGCTGTTTAAGCTCCACTAGTCAAGTTGTTTCTGAGGAAACGGTGTTTATCGATAGCTGAATGTACATACAGTCCCACCACTTAAAAGTGTTAAAAAGTCAGTTATAAAATTTTTATCAGAGAGGTGTGTGTTTATGGATTTTTTTTTCACTCGACGCATGGTGCGTCCTACCTGTACAAAGTATTTCTCAACTATTAGTAACCTTTTGTTAAGCCCTACCAGGCATTTCCCCGGGTTGAATAATCTACTGACGATGAAAATGTTCAGTGTAAAACATTGATTGTTGTATGGTTTTACGCCGCTTTCAGCAATATTCCAGCAATATCACGGCGGGGGACACCAGAAATGGGCTTCACACTGTGTACCCATGTGGGGAATCGAACCCGGGCTTTCGGCGTGACGAGCGAAAACGCTTTAATCACTAGGCTACCCCACCGCCCCTCAGTGTAAAACAATGGAAGGTTGTATGCAATTGAAATGATGATATTTGCCACACAAATGTATCATCTTGTGCAGAATAAGAACTCATTAACGTCTTCTTAGCTTATGAAACTATGTATAATGTTCAATTTATCGTTATCAAATGTTAACTGATGAGTACGTACTCACTAACAACCCAATCAAACCTATGACCAGTGAACTGACATTACTAAGTCATTGAAATAAGCGACAAAACTTTTCCATATTCAATGGACATCTCTATATCATGAGCATGTGTTTATGAATCACTATGAAATAGTGTTGATACCTGGTGTTCGCGAAAAGGTGAGCGTCTCCTGAGGCACCCGTCACAAACAAATGCAAAGGTAAGTCAATTGTTTACCAGAAAAAAAGACGGGAACATATGCTACATCATTTTTGTTCTTGATGCGTCAAATTTGGTAATGTTCTCCACATGTCCACCATAATATTTTTTAAAGCTTTACTGAGGCCTTGAATGTTGATAAACATTGATCAAACAAATTCTGAGCAAGAGTCGTATAACGCTCTTTGACATATTGGAAGAAAGAGCATGCTCAATTGTATCTCAGACGTTGTGAAATGTAAACACCAAAGGCTGGAGCTTCTGGAATATTGCTCGACATGAAGGGAAAGTTGACTATTGGAAACTTAAAGTCATCGCTCTTGTCACACAGTCTTGTGGAGAATGTTTCGTCACTCTCAGTCTGTATGTATATACCTAAATATCCAACAGATGAGACGGTCTCACTGGTCTCCTTTATTTCTAGTTCAGGTGGGTAAATCAGTGGAAGCGAATTGACTATTTGATTGTTATGGAACGATATAAGATCATCGATATACTAGTACCCGAAGCTTAAGTTAAACATCTTAGCCAAATTACCTTGTTCAGTCCTTGCCAATCCGAGCAGAAATTCCGATTCATATGCAGGAAGAAACCGATCAGCATGAAGGGGAGCACAATTGATGCCCATGGGGATGCCTACTTCTTACCTAAATGTTTTACCCCCAAATGTTACATTGATGTTATCAATGAGGAAGTCAAGTCAAAGTCAAAATTAGTTTATTTGTGTGTAGGCCTTTGGCCCATATACAAGAAAATGCAGTGCCAATAACACAATGTGAAGCACATTACATAGATTTTACGACTTCATGTCTTTGTTCATACGCATAACATACAAAGTATTGCAGACGTTTTAATAACTCATCCTGAGTTGTACACAATAACTTTTTGAATTTATATATAGTTGGAAACTTCCAATACAATTCTGGCAAATAAACTTTACGCAGCTCAGTATAATGTTTACAGATCAATACGAAATGATATTCATCTTCAACAGACATATTGCAAACAGGACACATACGTAAACATGATTCAATAGATTGCCATCTACCCTCGTTCTGTCGTAAAGGTAAAACGTTACATCTCAATTTAATAAAAACACTGCGTACATGTTTGCCATTGTAAATGCTCAAATATCTTTCAGGTTCAAACAGTGTTTTATATTCTTTATATCATATATCGGGTACTACTGTTGGGTGTTGACATCCAGTTTTGACGAAATTCATCTACAAGACACGTTTTAAGCATCCCAATGAAAGCTATATTGTCCCCAACAGACTGGTTTAACCATACAAATCCTAAACCATGCGAAAATAAAAAGTCCAGGATTACACATATTGTAATACACAATTACACAAATTGTCCTGAACCTCTGACTATAGATACGTAACTGAATCTTTGGTCAAATTCAATAACAATAATAAACAATAATAAACAATAATAATAATATAAAAAAACTGTTTTGGATCACACATGGATCTCGGTTCCGCTCAATGGGTTTGGGCCTTCTGTACTCCTTATTGCATAGACTCCCAAGAAGAGATAGGCACGATGGTGGCTTTATGACATGAGAAAATCTGATTAAATGTAAAATCAATACACACAAAATGCCCATGCTCTGGAAAATATAATTTATGGAACCAATTGGTACTCAAAGTTTCATAATAAAGTATTATGATTTAAAAGATACGGTTTACGAGTTATGCTCCGGAACGAAGCGTGACGGTGAGACGGACGGAAAGAAGGACGAATGACTGCATCTATTCCTATAAACCCCTCCCACTTCTTGGCGTGGCATGATAAGACGCTTTTAAACTTACATACTTCCCTATGCATGGAGTGGAGCAATCTTAAACAAAGATAATGACAGACAGCATTTTTCAGGATAAAAGTGCCCAGAAGCTATTTCCTGTTTCTTACGTGGTTGAAGAAAAAACAAACATTTCGTCTTTTGTGTACGTCAACATGAGTATCATCTTTTCATTCGTTTCTTTTTGCGAAGTTGCCATTAAAGACTGTATCCAACAATACATGTCATGTTAAGTGTCACCTCATCCTGCAAGGATGATGTGTGAGGTTGTGATAAACAACATATGGCGTTTCCTTGTGATCACGATGCATCACCTCATACACTGTTTAAATATGACTTGTTTTTATGTGATATATTTTATGTCCAAACAGTTAACATATCGAGGACGTCAGCAAGTGGAAACATAATGACATTGATTTTACATTTAGGGGTGTGTCATTTATATAACTAAACAATAACTATAACATCAAGTTGTTTGGAACATTTTAGTGAATATTACTGACATTTGACTGGTTTGCAGATTTTTAGTTTGTAAATAGATACAGATAAATGCCAGTTTAGGTTAACTGTTGACCTCGACATCTGCTAACTGAAGTGACGACTGAACCTGTAACATATCCATTTGTCCTTCAAAGTTGATTTTGTTTATTGAAAACATGAAACTTTTCAACCTGATTTTCACGAACTGTCTCACGTTCCTTCTTCCAACATTGACAAACAACAAATAGCACATTCTGTGAAATGAATTATTCACATCGCAATATCTCTGAAACTGCCGTGTCATACTGCTGTTTCTTGAATGCCAATACACCAAACGATGAGAAATGCATGTATGTCATTTCAAGTATATATAATCCTAAACAAGAATTCAGAAAACTCACGTTCCTCCTGCCTAGAAGTTATCGTCTGCTCTGGCACATACGAGTGTCGCCTCTCCTGTCAATCAATTTACATATATCTGTCTATCAATGCATGATAATAAACGCCCGGTCGGTAGCACCGCTGTATAAACCGACGTAACCCGCCACTAAATGCTATACATCATGTACTGTCAGGCGCCATACAACAAAGGGGAACATTGATCCTGTTTTAGAACGTGAGGACAATAAACAAACCATTTTCCTTCATGCTACATGTTCTTTAATTCATCAAGATGTGTTGTTGTTAATCTGAGCATCCGAGCATGTCTTTGATCTTTACTTAATGTTGATCTAAACGTGAGAAAACATCAAAAGATAATTACACAAACCACACCTTACGAGGTAGGTCATGGAAATGTTTTTGTCACTTTTATTTGTGTGATATGATCATTGGCCTACATCTTTCGTTGATAAAGAATGTCTGTTGTGTATATTTTTTGTTCTAGGATTGGTTATGATCATGTTGAAAATTAGTTACATTTCTTACTTGTGTGTATGGCTTTGTCGATTTGAATTTTTTTATTCACCAACGATTTTATAATAATCCATCCTTGAAATGTTTACAAAATATTTTGAATAACCAGATGCCCAGCTACTTTAGACAATGTGTCTAAATTTGTAGTTCATGCTTTTAAGTTATACCCGTCACCCTATATGATATGATATGTACTTTCTGATTTGCATAACGAAACATATATAATGTCATGTTTTGTCAAATATGCCTGTGCCCTTTGAAGTCAATTAACAATTTCTACTGGGAAAAAAGCATAATTAATTGCAAGTTTCCTAAATAAAAGTGACAAAACCCATTCCATAATCATAAACATATCTCTGTTAAAAGCAGACCCTTACAGACCATTAGCATGTGTTTATGAATCACTGGCAAAAAACAATGATACCAGGTTTGATGATACCAGGAAGGTTTGACATTGTTAACAGAAATATAAAAACGCCAAAATAAGTTGTAGCAGGATCACGAGGGATACATGGGGCTTTATGCGTCTCGAGTTAGGTTTTATACAAGCGGCCTCTATACTTAAACGGAATGCAAGGTCTACTTAAAGATACTTCCCAGGGAAATGGTATGATAAGGACTATCCTAATAGTAAGCTGGAGGCCCGGCGAACACTTAGAAAGTATAAAAGCTGTAAAAGTTCAACTTTTTATTAACGTTTAAGCAACTTCGCAAAAGTTACAAGTCTATCACCAGATACTTCAGTTGCATATCTCAGAGAGATACCTTGATGACAGTAAATTATTTCTGAAACAAGTTAAATACATGAGTTATAATAGTCCTTCTCAAATAAATATTAATTCAGATAAGTGGTATGGGTATTTTATAAATTTGTTTCAAGTTTCAGCTTTGAACAAAGATGAGTTTCGACCTACACTGGATATTTACCGGAATTGTTTATTACCGGAAATGTTCAAATCACCATGAAAAATATTAATGCCATACATGCATACTTTATTTAATAGGATTTATTCAACATGCCAGTTTCCACGATCTTGGAGTAAAGGTATAATAGTGCCATTTATAAAAATGGCCCAAGGGATGATCATAATAACTACAGAGGCATAAGTTTAAATAATGTATTAGGAAGAATATTTGCAACAATAATTAACTGTAGATATAAAACAAAATATGTGAGGAACAAGCAGGTTTCAGGCCCGGATATGCAACAACGGATAACTTGTTCACACTTACTGCCTGTATACAAAAATATTTAAGGAAACGTAGAGGTAGATTTTATTTTGCTTTTATTGACTTTGAAAAAGCATTTTAATCTATATATAGAATTTGTTTTATGTATGTTCTTCACAACTGTGGCCTGCCTGTTAAAACGAAGATTATGTTACAGCATGTGTGCTGTGTAACGCTAGTTTTGCTGAGTGTTTCGACTTTCCTATTGGACTAAAACAGAGCTGTGTGTTGAGCCCAATTTTACTTTCACTTTTTATTAATGAGTTGGCCACTGAAATTCTTGATTCCTGTCGAAGAGGAGTACAATTGTTCCCCGACTTACATGATTTTTTTCTGTTGATGTCTGCTGATGATGTTATTTTTATTTCTGATCGAGTAAGTGGGCTACAAGAGCAACTGAATATTCTAGATAATTACTGTTCAGCTTGGAAGTTAAATGTTAACCTGTCGAAAACTAAAATAATTGTTTTTCGTTGAGGTGGGATTGTTAAACAATGTGCGAAATGGTATTATCGAAATGAACTTGTAGAAGTTGTGTCAGAATATAAGTACCGTGATGACTCCATCTTTAAATTGAACAAGAGTAGTGTCACCAATAAATGTTTTAAAACTGGTTTGGACATATGGAAATATCCCACTCGGAACATTTTTCAAAATAGTTGAATCAAAAATAAAACCCCTCCTTCTTCTTCTGGATGTGAAATATGGAGACATCAAAGATTAGAGGTAGTAGAATGGGTCTAATATCTAGAATGTAAATATTATTTTAGTACTGGAATTAACACTCCTAATGTAATGGCTTTAGGTGAATATGGACGGTACCCATTGTTTTTAACAGTTAGGTAAAATCCATTAAATACTGGCTAAAACTACTTCATATGGCATCTAATAGACTTCCGCGTAAGGCATACGAAATGTAATTTTATCTTGATTCAGTAGGTAGACAGATCTGGGCAAGTAATGTTAGACTTATTCTGTTTAGTTCAGGTCTTGGATATGCTTGGGTCTATCAAGATGTTGGATGTACAGCTAGTTTTCTTAACCTTTCTCAAGCCCGTTTGAAAGATATGTACAGCCAAGAATGGACCAATATGTTATCATCTAGTACTAGATATGAATATTATAGCCTAGAAGCAGAGAAATATTTAATAGATTCGACCTTGTGCACATTTGCTACCGATTTTTCTCGTGCACTAGTTGGATGTACAAGGCTTAATATTGATCCGGGGAATCTGAAAGATAATGTACATATTGTAATCTAAACAATATCGAAGATCTGTATCATTTCACCTTTATATGTCCATCCTTGAAAGATATTCGAAAGCAATACGTAACAAATAAATATGTAATTCGACCGTCAGTCCAATAATTTATTCGCCTTATGGCAACCTCAGATTATCAAGATTTAAAATCTGTAATGTTATATTTCAAATATGCCTTCAAGATCAGAAATGTACAGAAATGAAAATGTGATTCTACTGGATGTATTTGGGCCTATGGTCTACCATACAATCAACATTTGATTTGAAATCAATTTTTCACCGGAAAAACACACGGAAGAACACGGCACAAGCCACATCAAGGGAACAACATCGGACGCCAATTTGCCATCGATGTGTCAGATTAAAAGTCATCCCTCTTGTCATACAATCTTGTGCACAGTTTTTGTCACACGGAATCTACGCATAGATCTAAATATCGAACAGATGTTGCTGTTTCAATGGTCTCTTTTATTTCTAATGCAGGTTAATTAAAAAGTGGAAGAGAATTGCCCATTTGATCGTTATTAAAAGATATCAGACCCTTTATGTACCTGAAGTTAAAGGTCTTGTACAAATTACCTTTTTTTGACTTTGGCAATCCGAGCTGAAATTCCTATTCATGTGCATAAAGAAAGGCATCAACAAGAAGGGAAGAACACTTGGTGCCCATGGGGATGCCTACTTCTTGCTTATATGTGTTACCCCCAAATTTTAGATAGACGTTATCAATGAAGAAGTCCAACATTTCGTATGTATTATTATCAGTAAACTTCAGATGTCATTTGCTTTTATTATTGATAAAATGTCCTTAAACTCTGAAGATAGAGATGTGACTATGGTCACCAGGTTTAGTAACAAATGCCCAATGGACCAAGGAATGAAATTTTCCCTAACGTTTGTTGTGTGGGATAGTGGTGTACATAATAGAAAAACGTTTTGACAGAATTGAACTTGGTTCTTTTGTGAGATTGCAGAAAATTCAAGCAAATTTGTTGAGCTTTTGAGAATCCACATGGTATTAATTCCAATTGTCTCCAATACTTTCTTGAAAAGAAATGAAAAGAAAGTCAATCTTTAATTGTATTGAGGTTTATGGTTAATTGTTGAGACATTGATTTGGTGGTACACTTGCTGGACCCAGCAATATTTCTCTCTTTGTACGGATTTTATGGAGCTTTGGAATCCTGTACAAAAGAGTTTTCAGGTTCTAGATTAGTCAAACGTTCGTACTGATGCATCGTTTTGGCAGATTCCTTTATCGAATGAAGGCCTTGTATGTGTCATTATTTGATATGCCACTTATACCAAGCTCTTTGATCAAACAATTAATGTAGGGATGCTTACATATAGTATTATAAAATACCATATAATAAAAAATGAATGTTATGTTATTTGAGGTCTTGTAATTTGAAACAACCACAAACTTTTCATGTAGGTCAGCCATTCTTTGAATGACAGCTGGCTGGGACAAAATGTGTTTCCAATTCTATTTCCTCTTTTTCAGTTTGTGCATTTGAACAATGACATCACGCACTGGCTTAAACCACTCTGAAAGACAATCAACATGTTTGTCTTCTCGTCTGGCCCATATTTGCCTATGCTTCAACAACATCCATAACGATTTTAAAGTTGTGATTCCATTTGGTTGGAGGCTGCTAACGATATTTTTGTCCATATTTGAATAACTGACAAAGGTTGAAAACAGTAGAGAATTGCACCTGTGATAACATTACCATCAGGTTGGTAGCAGTATGGTGAGTCTTGGCAGCCACAAGTAGTGGACTTTACATCGTGAGCTGCCAAGTCCACGTTCTGCAACTTGGACGAAATGATGTTCAAATAGGAAAATGAAACTGTCGGTGGTTCCTGAACATTTAGGAGACGTTTTGCGAGACAGTTTGGTCTGAGAATGTTAAACATCAGTCCCCTTGTTTGCAATCAGTGTTTGGGATCAATCGTATTTCTGAGCCTTCTGTTCGAATTCACGTTGGAATGTTGTGAGATGCAGCTCAAAGCGTTGTCAACCTCAAGATTGTAAACCAGTTTAGAAGGTATGTTCTTATGTTCATGTTTTTTAAACATGATATTAATACGCCATGGTCTTGTATAATTAATAGCAAGGATGGG